TGGTTTTGCACTTACAAAAAATGAATTAAAAGCACACGCACTAATATCTATCTATCTGATATAAAAACCAGGAGTCGAAATTCGATAACAAATGGTGTTCATGTATTTTTTTTCAATATATATATATATATATATATATATATATATATATATATATATATATATACATATGATATCGAATAAAAATACATACATATATATATATATATATATATATATATATATATATATATATATATATATATTTTGTTTGAATAAAAGACATACCACGTTAAGATTCCATGTAATAAGCTATTTCACCATAACCCTTTAACAGGGTTCTGGATCATCAGAACTTACTTCCAAAAGCTGAAATGAAAAAAAATATATTTCGTCCCCTAGAGCACATTATCAAGGTAACGAAACGCGTAGGCAAAGATAAGTTTTCCTTTTGTCTTTATTCATTCATTTATATATATATATATTTCATAGCATAATGCCCGATCTATTTAATTAAGTGAATTAAGTGCATTGACAACGAAGGATATTATGATATAAATAAATATTTCGTGAAAGAAATGCGTTTGCCAACAGTATCATACACACACACACAAAAGTATGTGTGCGTGTGTAATATTAATCTTAAAATCTGTTATAGATACTGTCTGATATTTTAGTGAATAGGCACTCATATTTAACATCAGATATAGAAAGCTGAAATTTCTAGGGTACATAAGGAGAAAGGTCTTGAAAAATTTGATACTCTCAGGACTGGTTGAAGGCATGAGTGATAGAAGGAAACAGGGAATGACCTATTTAACGAGCTCGTGAAAATGGCCGGGAGATCAGGCTATAGGAGACATAGTACAAAGAGAGAATTTACTAAGGCTGCAAAGAACAGGAAATTGTGAAGAACCTTGGTCGTCAAATCTCTGAAGAGGCATGGCACATAGAAGATATAACCATACGCAAGAATATATACTCGAAGTTTATGTTTCTTATGATTATCAGAGACTTTGTGCACCTTTGGAAATGTAAATGATTACAATGTTCCTAACAAAACTGAAAATATGACCTTGGTAAACATCACCAATAAACTTAATAAGATCAGAAAGCATTGGAACAATAATATAATTTGCCGTGTTCATTTCAGTAAAGTTTTGTATTCTCTTAATTTGATTCAACAGAAACTGTTTAAATTTATCCAATACATGGAATTTCAGCAGTTTATCCTTACTTTTAAAGTAATACTTACGTGATTTAAGTATTCCATAACTGGAGAAGAAATCGATGTATATAATAATAATAATAATAATAATAATAATAATAATAATAATAATTGCATTTTGGTAGTTTCTTGTTACAGTAAAGTTGAACATATTGAAAAAAAATGGAATTCTTTTATATATATATATATATATATATATATATATATATATATGGCAACTCTCCTGTTACCATATTATGTGTAAAATTATGTTATCTCTCTGCTTCTCTCGATGAAGCGTTCAGAAATGGCATCATGACATTTTCCACTGATCATTTTACCACAGATAAAGCTCTTTGTAATGTGTGAACAGTACTTGTGAGTAGAATATTTTGTATTTCTTTAAAACATGGGCTACCAGGAATCCCCTAAATGCGTCTATAGGAACCTTTTCCAATCAATCGGAAGGGTCTAACTACAACTGGAATTTTAAAAGTAATCATGGGCCACATTTTTTATATTTCCACTCGAAGATGCTTGTATTTTGATAGATCTTGAAAAATACATTACAATCTGCAGGGACTGACATGTCAATAAGAAAGCCCATACTTTGATCACGATATCTTGGTTGGCGATTAGCTTTGATTTTTCTGTGTCTATTGCTATTATTATTTTTTTTAACACCTTTAATTTATGTTGTATATGAGATTTTCCACTGCAGAATTTTGCGTAAAACGTTACAATAACCTAAAAACACACATATTTTACATAAATAAATCTCTTCGTAGAGAGTAAGCTGTGCTTGTCAGAACGATTTCCTTTTCGCATTTTAAGGTGTAGGTTGACATTTACAGTGACACCTTCAATGCATCTTTCATAGTCATTTTCAATCAAACCCAGGGCGCTCAAAAACAACTGGAATTGTTATTTTTATTATTATTTCCAGTTTTCCTCATTGCCTGTTTGATAGAATCGTTCACCAGACATTTTTGCTTGAGATCTGAGGTAAAGGAAGGTTTTTTGAAATTACTGAAAAATAAACTATTATTAATAATAATATTTCTTTTACATTATTCGGACTATTGTCCTCATCTTTGTCGCCATATTTATCACAACATTTCGGCCGTTGTATGCTCCGGCCTTCTTCAGGTGGTTGGAATTTCGAACTGAACCCTTTATTTCATTCACTGGGGTACACTGTTCTAGTTCCACTTGCCATGTTTAATTGATGTCAGTTATCAGTTATCTCCTGTAAATTTCCCTCTGAAAGTTCTCCACTGCGTTAACCGGGTATTGAACTCACACTCTTTGGGTCCTGTCACTGGATCTAACCAACGCCTTTATCCACTGTGCTATGTGTCCTTGTAAATAATGTACATAATACCTCATCTCAGAAATATAGACAAATAATAATATTTTTTTTATTTCATTTAATACCACCAACAATATAATTATTGCAACTGAGATCCTTTTTCTGTTTGATAATCAATTATAAGCGAATAAAATAAAAGAACAGCTGAAACATTTACCATTTAAACTCTCTCTCTCTCTCTCTCTATATATATATATATATATATATATATATATAGAGAGAAGAGAGAGAGACAGACAGACAGACAGACAGACAGAGAGACAGAGAGACAGAGAGACAGAGAGATCGCCCATGCGTAGAATATTGCTAACATATATGGCCCGGTGTTCCTACTATCTATCTAGAATTCCTTAATAAAGTCCAAACAAGAATCAGCAATATTATTAGAACCGATCTGACGCGTCTGCTTCAGTCACTTTTCTACTGCCGTAAGGTTGCCTCCCTTTGCTTTTACTATAAATACTTTCATGGTAATTGTTCGGGTGACATCTTCGTTATGACGCCGCAAATCTTCGAATTTAAGCGCTGTACTAGACAGGCGAAGAAATCTCACTAGTTGAGTTGGCTAGATGCAACCGTAAATTCTATGCTAACAGTTTCTTTTCTCGCACTTCTCGCTTATGGATCCCCCTTCCGGCTCCATGTTTGGCAGCCAACTTTAATCGGCAATAATTTAAATGCAATTTCAATTGCTGTCTACTGTCATCCTGATTACACTTCCTTTATTCTCTCTCCTTAGCAATGTTCTGTTTCTAACTCTTCCACGCCCAGTAACCCCTTGCGTCTCTGTGGTCTACTGCCTTGCTTGGAGTGAACTTGATTAGATAGATAGATAGATAGATAGATAGATAGATAGATAGATAGATAGATAAAGCTCTTTGTGCGTTACAGAAGAGTTTATAAGCGGAGGCGTGATATCATTCGATGCTCTTTGACCGACTTTTGTACCCTTGTAGTAAATTAAGCAATGGTTAGAAAGAGAGCACTTATCCTAGCGGAAGGTTTAGTATATTTGTCTCTGACTTCTCGCCATTGAAGTGTCTTCGATTCTTGCTGAGTTTTCTTTCCTTGTAAGCCCGGGGTCCATAGTTCAAAACCATGCTATAGTTAGCGAAATATGAGCGCACACACGTGCGTATTTAAGAGTGCGTATATATGTTATTATTTTACGTAACATGTTTTAAGTAATACGCCTGTTGTAGATAGATAGATAGATAGATAGATAGATAGATAATGAGCAGACTGCGATAGATAGATAGATAGATAGATAGATAGATAGATAGATAGATAGATAGTCACAGGGTAAAAGTAGAAATGAACAAACGCCCTTACAGCGTGAAACTAGCAGGCATCATTTCAGGCGTTGATTCCTATGTCCACACGGCTTATATCTACAAAAGCTCTATTATACTGGGCACTCTTTCCCTCCATCCAAAACATATAGAAAATAGCAAACGATATAAAAGTAAATATGCGCGTGTATATGTAGATGTACTGGTATTGTATCAGGGAACAACTAGGAAGGAGAAATGTGTGAAATGATTTTGAATTCGTGTTACGTTCACTTTCTCATGAATACCCTTGAAAAAGGTGAGAAGCCGTCTACACCGCAACCAGCTACGGGTTAAACAACAGGGATGAGTGGGATCTCTTGCCTTAAGATGGCAACCAGCCTAAATTCAAAACCAGTCTGAAGAAACGTTGGTTTAGTCAGTATATCTAACCCAAGACAAACCAATGCTGTTATTGCCAAATTAAATGTGGCATTCCTACGATTGTAATGGGTTACGGGTGAACTGACGTGTGTGTCAGTACTTTCGTCTGTGTACGAATGGAAGCAAACATTGGATATGTTTAAGGCTAAAAATAAATTCTACCATGTGACAAATTATGTCGCCTGAATCTAAAATCGAATTTTTAAAAAATATGTATTTTTTATGTAAAGGCAATCGTACACACTTCACACACTTTCCCAGAGAAAAATACACCTATATTGGCTTGCAAACATGTAAATTCTTAACAGAAAATATTTCATTTACTCTTAAATATTAAACTAACACCATTTATGTTAATAGACAGATATTTTCAATGCCTATCCAGGCTTATTATATAAGCACATAAGAAAAATTATCAAAGGAAAATTCAAAACAGATAAATAGAAATGAAGAGATTGAAATAGTTACCAAGCTAGCTAGCAAGATAGATAGATAGATAGATAGATAGATAGATAGATAGATAGATAGATAGATAGAAATGAAGAGAATGAAATAGCTCCATAGATAGACAGATAGATAGAAAGAAATGAAGAGAATGAAATCCTCCACAGATAGATAGATAGATAGATAGATAGATAGATAGATAGAAAGATAGAAACGAAGAGAATAAATTAGCTATCTAGCGAGATAGATAGATACATAGATAGAAACGAAGAGAATAAAATAGCTATCTAGCGAGATAGATAGATAGATAGATAGATAGATAGATAGATAGATAGATAGATAGATAGATAGATGGGAATGAAGAGATAGATAGATAGATAGATAGATAGATAGATAGATAGATAGAGAGAGAGAGAGAGAAGAAAAGTGTCAGTGATGTATGACTAGAGACATCGGAATAGACGAATGGATCAATAAATCTATACCTTGACGCCGAAATGAACTGAACTGTATCTGAGATTTTTATTGTATAATGTTCGATAGACATAATTTAAGGCTAGACGCCAGGTTAAGCAATTTGACAAGGAAGGTAAAAATAATGAAAAATAAATATATGCTGTGTAAAATAAGTGTCTCTTTACGAGTAACCTACAGATTTACTCGAATATAAATAGGTATACATATATACACACAAACACATATATCAATAGGCATATATATTTACACACACATATACAAATAGGCATACATACATATATACACATATATAAATAGGCATATATATACGTATATATATATATATATATATATTAGCATACATATTTACACAGACATATATATATATATATATATAAATAGGCAGACATTCACGCACACCTATATAAATGACCATACATACATATGCACATACATATACAAATAAGCGTACATATATGCACACACACACTTATATAAATATATATATATATATATATATATATATATATATATACACGCACACGTATATATAAGTAGTTATACATACACACACATATATAAATAGGCATACATATATACACACACATATATACAAATAGGCATATATATACATATAAATAGGCATACCTTTATATGCACACACATATAAATAGTCATACATATATACACACAAATATAGACACACACACATATATAAGTAGGCAGAGATATATGCACTTATATAAATAGGCACACACGCACAAACAGAAATTTTATCTTAGGCCGGCTAAGAGGATGAAACACGACGGCGAATATGTTTTCTTTTTTCTTTATTCATATTGTCTGTTTACAGATATATTTTTAGTTATGTCTAAAATTATAGATACATACATACACACACAGACACGTATATATATATATATATATATATATATATATATATATATATATATATATATTATAAATTAAGTGATTTAAAATATGTTTTTTCGCTAGACAGTTCTAACCATGTTTTTGAAACATGGTTAGAGCTGTGAAGTGAAAAAAACTAATTTATAATATTAATGCTCTGTAAATTTACATTGAGTACTATTTTGTAAAAATAAAAATATCTATAAGAACGCCAAATTATATATCTTACAATTCTTTTCTTTTTTTTTTTATATATATACATGCATACATATATATATATATATATATATATATATATATATATATATATATATATATATATATATATATATATATAAAGCCTGATCGATACAACTGATTAAAAGTTCTCTTTCTTTAGTTGTCACATTTTAATTTCAATCCACACCAATCTCAAGCATTTCATTTAATGAGCCATTGGGAAGGCACCTTGCAATCCCGCCTTTCTTAGAAAGTACACGGAAACTTTCAGTAGAGAGATTCCAACATTCTACTATGAAAGTAATTAATAAATACTTTGGAAAAATACAACAATACATTTATTTTGATGATTCTTTCATATATTATTATGTTAAATGGTATATAAAAAGAAATATTCCAAACAATGATTATTTTGGTTTTCTTTCAAACACACACACACAAATATATATGTGTGTAAAAAAAGTTCAGAGTCTAGCTGTAAAAAAAAAGACAATATGGATAAAGATAAAAATCTAAGATAATTTTCCTTTTGTTTCTATTCACATATATATATATATATATATATATATATATATATATATATATATATATATATATATATATATATATATTCACAAATAGTAAGTATAGTAGCTAAACTAAAGCTTAAAATAAGCTAAAAGCTTAATTTATAAAATAAAGTGAATGCCCAATTCCCCAAATCAACAGAGCCATATAATTATACAAAATCAGGCAATGCCAATCATCAGCCGCATATATATATATATATATATATATATATATATATATATATATATATATATATATATATATATATATATATATATATATATATCAGTGCTTATTTTAAGAAGAAAATATATAAGGATCGGTAAAAAAAATTCTTGATCAGTCTCATTTCTAAGAATCATTATTTGAGAATGTGTGTGTGTGTGTGCGCGCGCGTGTGTGTGTGTGTGTGTGTGTGTGTGTAAAAGTATGAGTTGCTGTGCGAAGTGTTTTTAATTAAGAAGTGAATACCTAGAATACCACGCCCTTTTTATGTCTCCGGATCCTTCTTCTTATTCAACCGAGAAGTTTACAGCATCCTCTTTTATATAATTGCATTGTATCTATGTCCGCAATGACAATGCAAATCGTATATTCTTCTTTAAAACCCTTCTTCTTAATGCATGATAATCACCACCAATTTCGCTCAAAATAAACGGTTCTACTGAGTTTGTCTCAGATGAACACACTGACATTATCCAATCATAGATATAACGTATGAACTATTTTAATTAAATAGCAAAACGTGTTACTTCCTTGTCCCAAAATACACATCAAGTATATGTTGCTCAAGCAGTGCGTTTTTTAACGTTTTCACAAGTTTGTAATTTTTTTAAATACTTTTTTATGAAAGCAACTAATTTATAAAAGCACGACAAATCTCAAGGAAAACAATATTTCTCAGAAGAAAGGAGTTAATTTCACTTACCGCTTCACTGCTTTTTGGACCGAGGTCCTTCCACATTCGATTTTCTCTGAGCAGATGATAATCAGACAAATGTACGCAGGTTTCTCCTAGAAATTCCGGCACAAGATTCTTAGGTCTGTTCATTAATTTTATTTTCAGATGCATCTGCTCCAGATTATCCTGCTGGGAAATTTGGAAGTAAAATTCTTTATTAAACACAGGATTCCTTGAGTGCTTGATCGTGTCCGTCACTTTCTTTTGTAGTTTTCCAGGCATAAGGCTAATTTTTGCAAACGCGTTAATCTGACTGTCTCCTTTAACGTTACCACCTAAATTTTCGGCGCGAATCAGGAGGATTTTTAATTGTTTCTGCTCGGGCAGATATTGGAAAGAAAACTTGAGTTCCCCGTATTCGGCCACGAGATGTGCCTGAAGTTGGGAAACCGAGCGCTTCCTCCCGAGACTGTTGTCATTTCGAAGTTCAAGCCTGTTAACCGGCGAGACCGGGGACGAGGGGCTAACTACGTTGAAGGGTCTCTGTTCGATCAGGGGTGAGTTCTGTTTGTGGAATTTTCGTCTTGGTGTCGGAGAAGGTCCAGCTGATTTGCAGCCGGAACTTTGGCTGGCCAGACCGGATAAGTAATTTGCCTCTTCTACATTCAAGTCGGACAGGGACGAGCGACGTCTATAGTAATTATGTCCACGAACTTTGTTTTTGTGAGGGCTAACTGCACTTGGGCTCACATTGTCGTTGCCTCCTACGTATCTGTTGCGCTGGGAGTATTTACTGGCACCCTCTTCCATACAGCTGACCCCAGGTGATGATACCGAGATAGTTGGAAAGGGGTCCATTCTGCGCGAAGACGAATGGGCTGACGAGGGTCCGTTTTGGTTGAGAGGTAACGTCAATTTTCCTGCACTGGCTTTGCTGCTGGCAGACCTCTTGTGGCGGCCATTTCCTGGAACTGAAGACAAGATACTAGCACTACCACTGACACCACTGGCACTAGCACCACTGTAATCATCTCTCGCTGTCCAAGAGTTCGATACACCAAATTGATCAATTGCTACACCTCTCATAAGCAATGGGCTCTTCTGTTGCGTCGTCGTGTAGTTAACCGAAGGAATTTGCGTGGTGTTAGTGACTATAACATCGAGTGATCGTCTAGGTAGTGAGTATGTTGACTGATTGGCCGAAGTATAGATGCTTTGTTCGGACCCATCGTCTCTGAGTGTGTCGATGCTGGTCAGCGAATGTCTGTCGTTTCGGGTCCCGATTCGGGGTTTGTGTTCTTGTCGTGGCGTCACCGGCGCCGAGCGGGTCATGACAGGGCTTTTTGGCAAGGCTAGGCATGAATAGGAGCCACTGAGAGAAACTGCGGGACTGTTACGTTCTGAGTAAGGTGCACTGCTGTCGCTTGTCACACTTCGCGCGTCGTCATCCTGCGAAAACTTGTCCTCACTCGACTGACGAGATACGTCACCCGAACATGGGATAATGAACTGCGGGATTGAACGCGGGGTGACAATATTACCCCCATACTTGCTATCTTGACCGCTAGTACCGCCAGTTAGAATGGCCGCAGCTGCAGTCACTTTACACTTACTCACAAACCAATCACGAAATTCTTTTACTGACTCCATAAGAAAAATAAATGCGTTATCAAGTTTCAGTCCAAGGCATGTGCGTCTCTGAGGATATACATAATACACGATGAAAGATCTTTGTGTGGTCGTTTCTTTCAATTGTTTTATTTATTACCTGACTTTGTCAATTAAACTTCATTCTAAAGTATTTTAATCTTTTTTTCATGTCAGTCTTATTTATATGACGGTTACATATAATCGAATATATATATATGTGTGTGTGTGTGTGTGCATATGTGTGGATGTGTGTGGATGTGTGTGTGCATATATGTGTATGTGTGTGTGCAACTTAAGATGACTTGTAACAGATCTCAAGTTTTCTTGTGTAGAAACTGAACACTTATTACCAAGTGATTTAAAATTTTGGCACGTTTTGCTTAATTGTAGTCTGACGCATGCTAAATGTTTCGTCAATAATTTCAGGTTTGATGTTCTACTCGTAGAATTAATAAGTTATTGATATATATATATATATATATATATATATATATATATATATATATTCTCAAATAAAATTAATTACGTAGGATTACAGGCTTTTTTTTAAATAAAATTGTAATACCACATATCTTTTTTCTTTTTCCATTATCCTTTTTTAAAATTATGTTATTTGACAATAAACTTAAGTTAATCACCCTTCCGAAAAAAACGAACCCTGTTTTACAAATAATTTAAAATAATTACAATGAACTGGAGTTCTAAACTGATAATTTTGCTTAGCACATAAGTTAATACATTGTACTTTTTCTTTTTTTTTTTTTTTCAAATTCAATACATATGCTTCCAGATTTGCATTGTCATATGTTACGCAAGCGTGTAAACATTCCTTAATTTGATTGTATATCCGTTTCTGTTGTTTTCTATTTTTTTTTTTCTACACACAAATCATTTCAAATTCAGCTCGCCGATATCCTGTACACATGCCTTGCATCCTCATCTGTCATTCCGGACTCCATGGAGAGCAGGGTGTTTGTGTAGAACTGCAGACCCATGTGATCGGCGCGGCTGCAACCAGCCACGACAAACAACACACCTTCACGCGTCACAAAAAGAGGCTCTTTTTGGCTTCCCACTTTTTTTTTAAAGACTTGTTTTACACAACTTTACTGTAACGATTAAGTTCGCATATTCCACTTAAAGATTCTTTGTTAAAATGCTTGAAAGAAAAAAATTAACTTCCTTGGCAGATTGAATGTCCGCTGACGTGCGCTATGTAAATATCGACATTGTTAGAATTACAACTGCGCAAACGCATGTAGGTGTGTGGAACACGCGTGTGTCTATTGGCTGTCAGAGGGAGCGATGCAAAATTGTCACTTTGTAAATACTAAATACGCTTATTTCGAATTTGCGTGTGCCAGCATTTTTTGTTTTTTTTTTAAGAGAAGTTGTCTTTGTATATATATGTGAAATATTATTTGTATGTGCGTGTCTTGAAAAAATATGCGTGTGTGTATATGTGTATGTTTGTTTGTGTGCGTGCGGACGCGTGTGTACGCGCTGGTGATTAGAGTATTTTTTTAACCTGTGACTGTCTAATAAAAACGCAAACAAATAGGCGACTTTCGCTTTTAATTTCCTTCCTCGATAAACTTTCTGGTTTAAAAGATATTTACCAAAAGCTTCTTGATGCTACATTTTTTTTAAATTTTTTGTTAAAATTTAAATACTGCGTCATCTAGTTGAAAATATCCTTTTTTTTACTTATTTTAGAAGTTTTTAGCATTAAAATAATTTAAGATAGTTAACGACTTACTAATCACAGATTTTTTTTCTCATGCTTTTTAAATATACATTCATTTGATTTATCACTTTCTGTTAGCCTCTAATTCTCACTTTTGCACATCGACCTTACAAATGTTTGCTTTTTGCCCAGTTTGCCTGATGTCTGTATTAGTCTGAATGGATTTCATTTTTATCTCTCAATATTTTGTTTAATATTTACTTTTTCCCGTGTTCGACTCAAATATTCCGTTTTTTTTTTCAGTTTGTTTCACAATAAATGTTCGTCCATTTTTTTAACAATATCTTTCTTTCCATTTCTCTTTTATTTATCCTTCCCGTATTTTTTTTTTTTTTTTTTTTTTTTTTTTTTTTCACCTTCTTTTCTTTCTTTTCTATTTTCCTTTCTTTCTTAATCTCTTTCTTTCATCCTTATTTTCTCTTTTGGTCTTTTTTTTTTTTTTTGAATTCTCTCAGCACCCTGTCAGCATTGTGATATCCATGGGAGGGAGACAAGACTGAACCGTAGCAGCAGCTATTAACTCTGCTGCCTATACTGTGTCTACTGCTGCCTCAACTGCTGCCTCAACTGCAGCCTCTACTGCTTGCCTTTACTTAGGCTGCTGCCGCTGCTGATGCAGATATTGCCCCGTCACTAGTGCACGTCTTTCGTTTCCACGTCAGCTGCTGCCCACTCTGGCAAAATCTTTACTTAGATCTTTAACATACCTGCTCCTGTTGATGCCACTTCGGACTCAACGACCAATACAACAAAAACTACTCTTACTAATATTAATATTAATACTTTAGATCAATACACACACACATTGCTTCTACTACAACAAAAGATAATTCTATTTGCATTATAACTACTACCTTTTGAATATGCAACGATCACTACTAATTTTTTGTCTTACAGAACTGCTACTTTTATTAAGCATATTACTAACACCAATGATTACATGGTCATAAATGTTAATAGTACAAGAGCTATTGTTAATAATCTGATAACTACTATCAATGTAACTGAAAGTACTATATCTGTTACTAAAATCACTCGTCCCAGTGCAATTCTTATTTACCATTTAAACAATCTATTGAGTTCTCTTATTTCTAGTTTAAGGGCGAGTTGTGGCGCTAAACGGACCTTTGTTACCAAATTTGAGGTCAGTTCTTCAGTGTTTCCATTTTTTTTTGACAATAGTGAAAGTTGGCTGTCTCTAGGTCGATAGTTTATCACTGAACAACCCCCACATGTTGAAAAAAAGAAGTAAGTAAATTTAATCTCATGTAATTAATGACAAGGCACGTCCTTATAAATATTTTAGGGCTTTATGCGGGTTAAATAAAAAATGTGTTATGGAGGTGTTCAAACATTTAATTATAAGAAAAAAAAAAATTCTCTATTTAACACAAATAATGCGAGTTATCATTTCTCTCTCTCATATATATATATATATATATATATATATATATATATATATATATATATATAGTGTGTGTGTGTGTGTGTATGTATGTATTCAAAGACAAAGTGAGCATTTGGGCATGTAAATGTAAATTATACGATTATATTATATATATATATATATATATATATATATATATATATATATATATATATATATATTATATTATATTATATTATATTATATTATATTAAAATGTTTACTTAATTCCATTCGGAGTTTCGAAGATTCTGAAATCTACTCATCAGGAAATAAACGTTCTCTCAAATATCTCTTCCTTTACTGTTTTTGGTGGAACTATATACACACGCATCTCTCTCTCTCTCTCTCTCACACACACGCACACACACACACACACACACATACACACACACATACATTCGCATGTAAAATAAAGATTTAAAATAATGGTAGCATTCATAATAATAAAAGAAAAATTCAATCCTCACGGTCACAATGTGCTGAATACTGTCTTTGGAAAATAAGAGAAAATTTCTATAACTCTGGATACATACATAAAAACCTACACATTTAATTATAATTTTAAAAAAATTTTAAATTTCCTTGATCATGGTTTAAACAATAGCCGAAAGAGCTTGTACATAAAAAAAATATTCCGACAATTTTTACACAATTTATGCCCAGAAAAAAAATACAAACCCAAGAAAAACTGAATAAAAAGCTTAAACACAGTCCCTGGTGGGTCGTCTTTAATGAAATTTGTATGAAAAAAATGAGTCCTTACCGAATACCATGAATATATATATATATATATATATATATATATATATATATATATACGTGTGTGATAGAGTGTATTATATAGAGTGATAGAAATATAGAAAAACATAGAGGATATATAGACAGATCGCAGACACTGAGAGATAGATACAGAAACATTTCTCGTACATACCACTTTTTAAAATTATGGAAGACTAGACAAGCATTTTGCAAATTGGATTCTTTTTTTCTTTTAGTATTATTTTTCAATAAACGGGAAACACGTTTGCCCATCACAATTATCATAATTCTCCCATCCGAATTTACCATAAGAGGAAAGAAAAGTAGTAACGTTTTCAACAAACGTCACAAGTAAATATCCTGTTTTCTAAATTCATATCTGAGGGGGTGGGGGATGAAAATTCTCGGAATAACTCACCTTCTAGAACCTGAACAAATGACTAAACATCAAAGTTTATCCATTCTTGTCTATAACTATACAGCACACACTCGTGTATGTATATATATATATATATATATATATGTGTGTGTGTGTGTGTGTGTGTGTGTGTGTGTGTGTGTGTGTGTGTGTGTGCCTTCTGGCCTGAATATTCAAGAAGTCTTAAAGAGATACGCCGTCCGGTAGGACTCATTTTGCAGCAGAAAAGAATTAGATGTGCTTTAACCCACTCGACCACGAATGGCTTCGCCGATCAAGCATGGTCAAGCTGGTAGTCGAAAATACTGTTAAATATAGTGTTTAAAATAAATAGAGCGTTTACTCAAAATAACGTTGGATTAATAGATAAAAATCAATTACTTCTTCAAAAACTGCATATGTATAATTCAACACTGAACGCCGACAGTAGACTTAAAATCAGTTCGGTGTTGTACTCAGTGTCCACTATATATATATATATATATATATATAGAGAGAGAGAGAGAGAGTCACCCACAGACAGACTGTTTCGCTGTATTACAGCTCATCAGTGTGGCTAAACCTCTGATTTCCTCAAGCCATGATCGAAACCTGACTGATTTGTCATCAGTCGGAGAGTTTTCCCCAAAGCTATCGGTTATCGATATATATACAGTGTGTATAAAAATACTTTTACATATATAAATACTTTATAAACATATGTCCGCAAATTCCGGATTGTCTCCGACAGACTATATAATGATTTGACCGTTCGATCACCGAAGTTAAGCATCGTAGAGCCAGGTCAGTAATTAGATGGGGGACCGCTTGGGAACACCTGGTACTGTAAGCCCCCAAAGTCCAACCCTTACCTCACAGTCGGTGGGGGGGGGTAAACGGTAGTGTCAGAGTTATGCCGCCCGGAACTTCGTTCCTGGTAGGGCCACCCAAGGCGGACAGGTCTGACACACACGCCGGCTAAAAAGGGCTCTGGTGAAAATCCAAGGAGCGTCTGCATCGGCAACCGGCGGCTTCTGGTCGTTCCTGTCTCTGCGTCTGTGGGAATCCCGCGGCAAGCATGAACGTTATCCGAGTAGGCCTGGGTACCCTACTTCTGTAATTTATCCCAAGAATCTTCTTCTCACAACAAGAAGAAGCCGGCTCAATCCGCCCAGGGTGAATGCCGCATCAATACAGAATAATATAATAATACTATATAATGTGTTCTTCGTGGACAGGCGTAAGAGCAGATCTCGGTCTTTCGCGATCCATAGTTTGTGGTACCACGGTTCCAGTCACAACAATCTGATTCAGCTGTGCAGCCTTGTGTCTATTACTATTCGCGCGACCGTATATAAAAACTTTATCTGAGTGGGAGTGAAAGAGAAGAAGAAAAATTCAGTAAAAAGAAAGGACAATAAAAGAAGACATTTCAAAAAGACAGAATATGGCTATTGACCTTAAGTGGCATGGAAGCAAGAAGGCGAAAAATAATTCCACAGGTGAGAAATGCGAGAAATGAAACTATTAGAAAAGAACTTACGTTTTTTCTGTGTACCGTGTCACTTTAGGACATTGGCGAGCATGGCCCTCCGGAATTTCCTGTCTTCTCTAGCTCTTAATAAATTTCGTCTTTTTCTTATCTCTCCTCAATACTCTGCAGGCATTCATTTACGCAAGTAAGGTTACACGTTGCTTTTCTCTATCCCTCTTACCTTCAATTTGTCCTGTAACTGTCAAATTTTCCAAGCCAACTTTCCTCATTATGTACGCTAAAAATTTCAACTGTCTCTTTCTGATGCTAAGTATATCTGTCCTCGTCTTCATTTTCTCTAAAACTTCGTCGTTGATCACATGTTATGTCCATGGTATTCTCAGCATCTTTCTATAGAACCAGATTTCTGTTGTTTCAAGTTTTCCTTATCTGTGAGGAAATTGGCCAACAATCACTATCATTAGATGACTGGTATTACGTAAGTGTTCGGCACACTTTTTCTTTGTTTTTAACTAAATTTTCCTCTTAATACTTTGCTTAGTTTTGGAAGGCCACTTTCGTCATAAGGATTCACCTTCGGAGTTTAGTGTCGTACTTTCCGTCCTCTCTTAAAAGATTTCCCAGATATTTAAATTGTTGTATTTGTTTGATTTCATTATCTCCAATTTGTAACTTTCATGTTGTGGTGTTTCTTTTGCTAACAAAAATATATTCCGTCTTCTTCGGTTGATGTTTAATCCTTTCTTCTCGTTTTTCTTCACTGCCTTCGGTAAGAGTTCTTTTATTTCCATCTGTGTCTGCTATCAACACTGTGTCATCTGCATGACTTACATTTTAAGATTGTGGCCGCAAATAATTAATTTTTAGGACTTATATTCAAACCAGAATCGCGTCCATGTATACGTTGAATACGTCCGGGTAGAAGACACATCCTTGTGTTACATCTATTTTTATTTTTGTATATTTACTGAACTCATTTTCTATCCGTATTCAGGCTGTTTGCTGCCATTTTAGACTCTGGATTATTCTAATATCCTTCGCAAATATATCAAAGTTACCTAGTTAAAGGAATTACAGGTGTAGACAATTTTAACGTAAGGCTAAAAACAAAAATTGAATAAGTTACAAGACGAATGTGCTAAAATAAAGGGTACAGTGAAAATTTCATTACCTCTTACAAACATAATAAATAAAATATAAAACAGTGGTGATACACTGAGAGGACCTAAGTAGATCTGTTTTGATAGTACTGCTTAAAACGCTAGATGTAAACAAATGTGAGCCCCCCCACTCCCGACAATCAACCTAATGAGCCATATAACATAATTTATCATTAGAATTCTGTTGACCAGTTAAAGAACTGTTTGTGGGTTACCGCACTTAACTGGACCAAAACGCACGCTACGAGGCCCTCTTTAAGCCTATAAATAGGCAATAAAAATTTCATTCCCCCCTTTTTAGCGTTCTTCTTAGCTCTGCCTTTCAGATGTCGCGCGGAGATTGGAATGCTGCGGGCAAGGCGACTTCGCTTCTTTGGTCCTCCTTTATCTTTGGAAATTACAGTTACACAAACGTGTATATCACACACGCTTGTTACACACAAAAAAAAATCACATTCTTCTTAAAACTTACTTTAATTATTTTTAGCCTTACGTTAAAATTGCCTGCACATGTAATTCTTTTTGTTAATATATTGCATTGTCAATTGTTTTATATTTATTGTTTTGTCATTTATTTTACCTTTTCGATGGAGTAATGGATAGCGGCTCGGATTGAGGAATAGGAGAGCCGAGTTCGAATTCCAGTCGGGTCCGTTATATTCACTTACGGGCTAATACCCTGAGTCCGCTAATATTGCTTGCGAGATAAATGTTCCAGGAGCTCGTAAATATTTACTAACCAAAGTGCTGATTCCCGCCACATAACGGTGACTAATATTTAGCCAAACATATGGCATGCTGCAACACTTCTCGCTTTCCATTACTACTTACTGTATGAATTCCTGTAGTTTCCTTTCTGTGTTTGCTATCAACGCTGTGTCTTCTGCCTATCTTAAGTTGTTAAGACTGTAGCAACCAATAACTAATCCTGATAAGACTTCTAATTCTCTTGGGATTGCTTCTCTCTAAAGGTTGCATGCATGATAATACATTTGTCTATTTTTAAAATTCTACGTTTTCTTATATTATTTATCTTTGGTATTTAACACAAAAAATGTTGAATGTCTAAATCCAGACATTTCTCTTCATGCTGATATGCAATGAATCCGAGAGAATTGTTTTGATTTTTCATTGTTGAGACAAATACTAAATGTCAGCTCCACTCCTCCCCCTTCTCTTGGACATGAGTAGAGGCTTACGCCTTGTTTCTTGTTTAGGAAGGGGTTTTGTACTCTCTCTCTCTCTCTCTCTCTCTCTCTCTCTCTCTCTGGCCTCTGTATCTCCAGTTGCCTTGATCTATCCACTACTCTTCTCCTCATCCTTTCTTCTATCACTCCTATCTGACCTTGCTCCAAATTTTCTGTAACTCCTTGCGTCCTAGTGGCTTTCCGCCTTGCTTGGGGTGAAACGCTTAAAAAAAAAAAAACTACATATTTCCAATAAAGAACCATATGTGAACATACCAAAGATTACGAACACATGATTTGAAAGTCGAGTTCACTTTAAGGACCATCGCAAGAGCAAACTATAATAGGGAATTAACTAATAACTACTAAAAAAATGCCATGGCTGCATTTCGACGTGATGTAATCGTCGATAACGTTATATTGCTTGGTCAATAATGCCTAAGTCGTAAGTTCAATTCTCCATAGTTACGGCTTAGTGTGTCATATATAAGCTGCGCTTGGTTTTACTTATCTAGCCTATTCGAGGAGTTTTAAATTAATATTATCTGGAGTTCCAGGGGTCCACCCACAGGCTATACTTCTATTTCGAGAAGTGCATGGGGTTATTACCCGGCATTTAAGTTACCACACATAGTGCCACAGGGGGTTGATCTGTTTTGGGCGGTTTTGGAAATTTCGCACTAAACTTGATCTTGTATCACATACAGTAACGACGTGTGCGTACGGATAAATATCTAACTAATAACTAAAAATGCCATGACCCTTCAAGGCGTAAGCGAGCATGGATCTCCACAGATTCCGTTTCTTTACTGTCTATGAGTATCTATGCCAGGGTTGGCCATGTGCGGCTCTTTGACCTTTAATATGCAGCTTGTGAAAATATATTGTCTGAGCTCCTTTTTTCATCACATTTAATATAAAAGGTAAATAAGAAAAAAATTCAACACTTTATAATTACTTAATGTGTACGAATAGAGACCCCATAGGATTAAAACGTAAGTTAAATGTTCATCATGAGTAAAAAAAATATTTAAGAATTTAAATCCTATTTTTAATGCTAGATCCTAGCGACACATTGCTTTTTAGTGCTGAGGGGAAGAATGGTGGGAAGCACAGTGATTAATGAAAGTTCCGGTCAGCAAGGATTACGGAGGAATTTCCAAAGACTGAGGTCATAGGTAAAGGGTTAAGGGGACCACACTCACATTACGTACATTAATGTAGCGTAAATTTTTCATGCTTTCAAATTTCTGAACTTTAAAGTATGTAGCTTGTACAATACGCAAGTTTGAGAACCCTACACACACACACACACACACACACACACCGAATTATGCCTACTTAAAAAATAATGGAGTTCTTTCCCGTTGTCTTCTCTACCGTTTCGTATTCCCTCTTTTATACTATTTTCCACCCAAATTTACAGAGCCAAGTTTATTTAACCCATAGAAGAAAAGTGATGGATGCATGCCTTTCTCAGAGTGGACGCAACAAAAGAAGCCGGTATTTGAACTCGGTCCGCCAATTTCACTTTCCGCACTAGTAATCGTCACATTACCTAAAATTTCAAAGCTATTACTGTGATTCTGAAAAAAAATCTCCAGAGGGAGACCAACAAGAATGGTTATCGATCAACATACAGACGAGACTGGCATCAGGAAAAGAACTGAATATGACTATGGATGACTGTAATGGTAGGAAAGTATCGATAAAAAGTGTTCGTTTTCATATGTTAATTGACTGATTTGTTTTTTTTTTTTTTTTTTTTTTTTTTTTTTTGTCTTTTACGCCTTATGAATAATTTGTGGTTAATTCAAAGCTGAAACATCTTGAATTCTGAGAATAATTTTTTCAGTGAATATTGCATTAACAATTCTTTTTTTCCATATAAAAGTTATACTATTTAACCCATAACTGGAGGAAGAAAATAGATTCATAGATTTCTCAAGGGTATTTGCACGTAAGTGAATGAATATAGATAGATAGATAGATAGATAGATAGATAGATAGATAGATAGATAGAATATTTAATTTTGTTGTTACCGGGTGTAACAACAAAATTGTCCATATTGTGCAACAGCAATATTGTCCAATTGTTAGATTAAACTCTGAACCGTTGTTTCTTAGAAATGATTAAAGATATATTACTGGAATGCCCCGATGTTTTTATAACACTACTGGTTCTACTTTGAACAATAAGAATGTATAATTACTCTTCAATCTGAACAGAAGAATCGTGATGAAATTGACAAATGAAAATGACATGCTCATCATTAACTTAACATAGTTAAGGATCGGAAACTCATGAAGGCTTGTAAAATTCATGCATATATATATATATATATATATATATATATATATATATATGTGTGTGTGTGTGTGTGTGTGTGTGTGTGTGTGTGTCTGTGAAATGTGTGTGTGTATATATATATATATATATATATATATATATATATATATATATATATATATATATATATATATATATATATAATGGTACTTATTGGAAAGCGATCAATATCAGTGATACAGCTAGCATATTTAGTTGGGTTGACGTGAAACGCATGGTCACAAACTCACATCAACCCAATTATATATATATATATATATATATATATATATATATATATAGGATCTAGGATCTTATATATATATATATTATTCTTGATATATATATATATATATATATATATAATCGACTCTCCCGTCGAGATTCGACGTATGAGGGTCAATCAGATCAGTTTCCAGGAAACCGACAGCCCGACACCGGCGCATGAGATTTGATTATAGTAGTGAAGGCTTCGTGCAGGATCATCCACACTTTTTGAAGAGACGAATACAGAGACCTGGTGCACCGAATGCCACAAGGTTCCCAAACGACCTTCCGCAGGTTTTGAATTCAGAGTTGTCCTTCTCCTAGACCAGTTGCCATCCAAGGCTCAAGAACCCAGTCTGTTCTGCTATTTTACCCATAGCTGGAGTGAGAGGAAGAAGACTCATACCTTTTTCAAGGAGGCACCGTAGAGTAATGGATAGCGGCTTGGATTGAGGAATCGCAGAGCACAGTTCGAATTCCAGTTGAATCCATTACATTCACTTACGTTACGTGCTAATATATATATATATATTAATATTATTCTAGGATTTAAGATAGTAAAAAGGTGCCTTACAGGTTTCACGCCCGATTTCATTTTCAAGTCATTTTTCACTGATCTTTGGACTGAAATTCCTCTCTTACGTGCCAAACGTCTTATGGGTTGAGGTGGATGTTTTCGAATTGATCTCTTAATTAGCTCTAATTTATAATGATAATCCATCTTCCTGTTGTGTACTATCTTTTCCCTTTCTTTAAACCTATTCACCGTTATCTTGATGGTTCTTGAATGTAAGATGGAAGCCAGAGTATGAATGTTAGTACCATTACTGAGAGCCGGAATTATCTTTTTCCCGCCATTTGGGAAGACGATGGGACTGACACAAAATGATTTTAACCTTTTCTCTTTCTAGTTGAATAAGTGAAATGGTTTTTCAATTATTCTTACGACGAATGGTGTCAAGATGGATATCTGAAAACATAGAAAAAATAACGCAATTAGTTTAGTGGGTAAACGATTATGCTGATACGCGATTTGGACAATTTTACTGTTACACTCAGTGGATAAACTACACCGTTATTTTTTTTTAAATGAAAAGATCCACCGTACAATGTTCACAGTTTTTAGGTTTTGAGTACTGATTGTAGGAAGTTTATATATGCGTATGTCTTTGGGGGAACCGGCCATTTACGAAGAAAATCCTCACGAACGTGTAGGGTACCTTCTGATAAAAGAGTCAGATTATGATCAAGGATTATTCTAAACCGATGAAACAGAACGTTGAAACACATAGTACCTAGATTTCTTATTTAAAACTAGCAGCATGGCACGGCGTGGCCCGTGCTTGATTCAAAAATCGTACGACTCATACAGCAATCGCTATCACTTGACTTAAAATATTTTTGCCCTTCCTTGCCTTTAAAGGAGTGCCCTTTGCCGTGCTGATGTTGCTACATGCCTTACTTCTTGCCTATCTCACACTGCGATTCTTTATAAGCTCTATACTAAACATTAAATCTGTTACGAAAAAAGAACTAAACAAAATAAACACAAAACGATCAGCTTTAAAAAATGACACGTAACTGGAAAAACCGAATGAAAAAAGAAGTTTAACAACAAATACTTTTTTATACCCAAGCCAGTTCTGCGAAATCAGAATCAACGTTGAGTTTAAGCAAGCGAATGAGCCAATTTCAGATTTAAATTTTTCGCACTTGTGACGAATGCAGCTATCGATTTTTTTTTTTTGCATGCTAGCATGCTAGTTAACATTCGTGTCAATAAGCTGTTGGCTCTCACGCTGGCTAATGGAATCTTCCTATCTATTCGTGGCAGCCAGCTATTGGCTCTCACGCTGGCCAGTAGAAACTGGCCGCAAACTACATGAAAACTGCCGTGTGACACCATTTAGGGTCGCTAGAAGGAGAAAAGAAAAAGGAAAGAAAGAAAAAAAAAGAAAGGCGAGAGTTAAATTTAGATGATAAAGGAAAGCCATCACGAAAGGGACATTAAGCGGTGTTATTTTGACAAGGAAAAATGGTGAAAATTTTTATTGCCATTGTCCAGAATTCTAAATAGATAAACATTTAACTGTGTCACGGGAATGCCATTTGGGGCTTCCACAGAGTTCTAAAGACATAAAGATTTAATAGTTCATCCGTTGACCGAGAAATAAGAATGTCCGTTGACCACACACGAGTTGCGAAAACAAAGAAAAAACAAACCATAGGTTAAGTCTTTGTCGATGGGAAGATATCCTTTGGACAAGACATCTGGATTGTGTTGGAATTTGACTATGACAGCGAAACTATTTTATCAGAAATTGGCAAAAATTTTGTTGACGACTTTCATATGAATTCGGCTGTGAATTGGCGAAATTGTTTTATCGTATCAGTGGTTGACCACCCACTTGTTAATTGGCGAAAATCTCATTAATAGGTACCAGGTGACATTGAGGATAAGAGCTGCGATTAAGGGACCACACTACAAAAGAAAAGAGAAAGAAGGAAGGAAAAAGGAAAAGGAAAAGAAAAGATTTTTTTTTCTTCGAGCAGGATTTTTTTTGAAAACAAAGCTAGTCTGGTCACAAACACACTGCTGGCCGCCCATTGGCTGAATGTTAACGAGAGCCAGGCGGAGGTGATCATGTGATGCAGGGGGGGGGGCTGCGACCACCCATTGAAGTAATAGGTATGAGATGTCACTGCGAGAGAGAGGGAAAACCGTTGACGCCCTCTGAGAGTATGGTGAGATACCCATATGAGAACAGAAGTAGTTGGGGAGTAGGAGAAGACTTTCAAAAATGGAAAGGAGTGGAAAATTCCTGACCGAAAACAAAAGAAGTGGACTGTGGATTTAGAATTATCAAGGAACCTCAAACCACGATGAGCCCACTCCGGTTTGGGTCAGTGTCCATATAAGCAAAGTCGCAGCGAGCGAAAATCAGTTTCGAGTTTTCCAGTTTTCCACAGTTTCCAGTTCGAGTTGGAGTTCGAAGTTCGCAGTTGAAGTTAGTCCCACCTCGCAGATAGCTGACTTGAAAGATTCACGCAATTCCGAACTCATCTTCAATCCAAGAACAATTTATTTTTAAAGACCGACTTAGACTCATACCACCAAAACAAGTTTTACGAAAATGGCGTGAAGACGCACCAAGAACCAGTTTCTAAAAGAACAGACAACTTAAGATGTTAAGACTCGCCTAACAAAAACAACGTGTCACGAATCCATATAGCGGTTTGGGAGAAAGACGTAGTCCTAGATTCAGCAATCAGATATAAAATATTGTTATCCTTTTTAACACATTTGAACTTTTCGAGTTATTATTTTATTCTATTTTACACATACTTGTGCGATATCACCCTTATTCGAACTCAGCTTGCAGTACGGCCCAGCGACTGATTGATTTCGTCTGCCTAGATCAATTCACAACGTGTGTAGGTTAGACTAGAAATCAAAGCAGTTACTTCGGTAACCAGACGTTGGAAGCGAGCTGGGAACGACGAGGCTAATACCGAATCTAACCATATTCCCATCCGAATCACCAAAAGGTTAGAACGTCACATTTGGTGCCGCGACCAATACCAAGCCAGTTGGTCGTCACAAGACAGGATAGCACGACTGACGCAGACAGGCGGACGTCACGTTTGGAGCGGCGACACACTAGCGGGGGACGTCACAGCCGTAGAAGCATGAAAAAATCGATTATTTCCACTATTGATGGGAGTTGGAAAATACGAAGTCGGTCTTGACCTTTCCGCTAACTTGGAGCATGTGCATGTAAATTTTGGTGCAAATCCGTCGAAAATTGCGGCCGTGCATTCGTTACACACACACACACACACACACACACACACACACACACACACACATCCTGCCTTTTATAGATAGAGATTTGCTACTATTCTTAAATGGGTGTCAATGGAAATACAAGTTTTGAGATATTTCGATCAAAAATGCGATAAGGTTCATGAGATAAAATAAACAACGAAATAATATTAAGGTGAACTCACCTTATTCCCAGAAGATATTTTACCGCACATAATCACACATACAAATTGCCGAGGTGGCGCATTAAATAGACAGGTGAGAGCCGTGTATGAATAATTAATTTATGCGCGAAATTCAGGCTTTCTTTTCTGACGATTTTCTTTCATCTTTCATTACACTTTTATTTTGCCTGAAAACTAAAGTATTTTCTGTTATATTTGAAAGCCCTTGCTATATATATTTTCTTCAGTGCATACATGCAAAATTAAAATGTTTCTATTTCAAACATATGGAACTTTCTTCCCAAAAATATTTTGGATTTGCCGAAAATTTCTAATTCAAAAGCAAGAACAAGTTTCGTCAGCAAAGCAACGACATTATGTCGGTAATGGTAAGATTAGTTGTTGGCGTTTTTTTTTTTTCATGCAGCAAACATTATAGTAAACAAAAATAAATATTTGATATTTAATTCCTCTAGTCTTTTCTTCATATTTTGTCTTCTTCAACGATAGCACAAATTATATTTAATTTTTGCATAAATAACAAAAACTGTGGCACAAAGTCAAAAGTGGAGATGGGGAAGGCTGGTGGTCTTCTGTCTTATCTTAAACTTATCTAGCCACAATCACTGACCCAAACAAACTATAGTCCTGGGTAAGACTACACCCGGCAGCAAGGCCTATGATCGGGAGATTGGAGGTTTTGATGAACGTGGAGCCAACTTTTAATTGCTGTTGTTGCAAGGTCCACACTGACCCGGGGTGGTAGCACCTGTTTGGGTCCTAGCTATGGGTAAATTTCGAAACAACAACAAACAAAATCAAAACAATATGAAAGTATAAAAATACATTTTCATAGTAAAAATACCAGCAATATCTATTTACAGTAAAATTACCAACAATACAATTTTAAAGCAAAATGACCAATAATATATTTTATCTGTAGCTGAAGGCATACAACTGCGTTCAAAATATATTTAATCGAAGCCATAAAATTGTGTTCAAAATATTTAGATTTCGGCATTAAATAACTCATAAAGGTTGACATGCCACTAAAAAAAATCAACCGACCAAACTATACAATATTCCTTACACCAAAATAACACATTCTTACTTTTCATTCATACTACAACCACCAAAATACTTTAAAAATCTCTATGAAGTCCTAACTAGTCCCCGTATGTTTAATTTGTCTGGTTGGGGGATAAAATAACTTTTAAAACATTAACCCCCAATTAATGTTTACAATGTTTAAAATGCTACGTACAAGAAAGTAAAAAAATAGTGTTAGTAATAATAAAAATTACAATCCTTAAATGTGGCAGAAACATGAGTTAACTAGACGAAATTAATGCGGGACTTCGATAAATCAAACAATCACTCAACCAAACACTCACTCAAAAACACACTCATTCAAACATATCAACAAATGCGAAAGACACACTTGAAGAGCAATAATACAAATTATGTTAGAGAAATTTAAGCTGAGTTTTTCGGTGTTCACTTTCCTTGTACTAAGAAAAGACTTTTACTTTATTTCCCCTGTGAAACATGCCTACCTTTTCCTGCCAGAACCAATTATATATTTTGTGTTTGCAGAATATATTTATATACTCATTTATATATATTGGAGGACTTTCATTGACAATTATGAGGCATATTCCCATCTCGAAATTCCAATTTCAACGGCAGTGTTCGTGTTCATGAAACTTGTGAGTACCAAGGTAAATTCATTTTCATCGTTATTGAATGTTAGTGTCATTAATGGTAAACTTGTATCTTCTTTTCTTCTATGTACCTTTTTCCTTTAAAACGTGAATGATCATGGCTCGCCACAATTTCCTGTTCTGTGTAGCTCTTAATAAATGTTGTCTTTTTGCTAACTCTCCGAATCCCTGTTCTGCCAAACACTTACATGCGCTGCTTCCTTCTGCCCCCCCCCTTACTCAATGGCAAAACTGAAATATAGATATTGAGTATCAGATTTGCTAAGCCGTCTTTCCTCATTATGTACTCTAGAAATGTCGATTGTATCTTCCTGGTGTTAACTTTAAGACTGTTTTCAATATTCTCTAAAACGTCATCTTTGCTGACATCCTTTCAGCTTTCCTTCGGAGTGGGGGATGTGTTGGGAGAGCTTTGGCAGTTTTTAAACGGCTTTCTGAAATCCCGCATTAAACCAAGACCTTTTACCATCCTTTTTTACGACGCGGACTTGCGGATAAATGACTACTTAAAAATTCCATAACAGCAGTTCGACGTGGCCGAAAGCTTGTCTTTGTGGACCAATTACACCTGAGTAGTCAATGTCGTCTTCACTGGGTGCTCTAAACTTGCGGCCTTGTTTTTTAAACAAATATTTTTTTATTATCACTTTTATTTTATTTTATTTAAATTTTAAATAAATATATTTTTAAATACTTACCTGGCCCAATCGGGGCGTTTTAATTTTTTTTTTTTTTTTTTAATTAACTTCTTCTGTGTGTCTGGTCCCTCCAGGGCGTGAGCCATCATAGCTCTCCACAATTTTCTGTCCTTTGTAGCTCTTAATAAATGTATTTTTGCTCTAAATCTCTGTTCTGCCAAACATTTACACAAGCTTGTTCGGTAGGCTATGCACTTCATCTCTGTGTCATTTTGTCTTCATTGTAGCGAACGAGAATCTTTCTAATCTCTCTTTCCTCATTATGTGACCTAGAAATTTCGATTGTTTGCTCATGGCGCTAACTATAATTGTCCTTTTGTTTTCTTTAAAACTTCGTCATTGGTCACATGTTCAATCCATGGTGTTCCCAGCATCCTTCTGCAGAACGACATTTCCGTTGCCTCTAGTTTTTACCTCATCTGTGATGAGATTGTCCAGCATTTACTGACATATAGAACTGATATTACATAACAATTCAGTACTTTTTCATTTGTTACTAACTAAATTTTCCTGTTAGTTTGCTTAGCTTTTAGATGACTACTTTTGCTGTCCTAATGAGCCTTTTAATTTGTTATTTGCCTTTAACTTCAAAACGATTCAAAAAATAATAAAATCTATCTTAATGAAATAGAAAAAAAAACATGCGTATAAACTGTTTTTTATTGTTGTTGTTTGTTGTTTTTGTTTTTTTCAACCTTATTTATTTCTGTAGAAATTCGTTTTTGTATAAACACCTTTTCTACAAAAACAACCATCTCTTATGTTGTATATCGTAAATAAGATACGCTCTAACAAGATCGTTACGATGAGTATTTAGACAGACCAAGCAAACTTTAACATCTTTTTAATCCAGAATATGTTCTGGGGGGAAACCTCATTCCCAAGGGAAGAAAAATGAATTAAGTACAAAAAAA